CTTAGCATAATACTCTCTAGGTCCCTCGATGCTGTCTCCAAGAGTAAGAGATCCTTCTTTTTTTACTGTTGCATAGTATTCCATCGTATAAATGTACCACAGCTTTTTTAGCCACACATCTACTGATGGACACTTGGACTGTTTCCAGAACTTAGCTATGGTAAACCGTGCTGCTATGAACACAGGGATGCATGCATTATTTCTGATTGGTGTTTCTGGATTCTTATTCCTAAGAGTGGGATTACTGGGTCAAATAGCAGTTCCATTTTTAATTTTTTGAGGAAACGCCATACTGTTCTCCACAAGTCTGTGCACTAGGGTTCTCTTTTCTCCACTTGTTGTTTGTGTATTTTTTGATGGTGGCCCCTGCTTTTTTAAAGAAAAAAAATGGATTACTGGTCACGGTCATAGGAATTAATGTTCTAAAAACATAAGGCTATGAATAGGTGAAGACTAAACCTATTTAAATTTTAAACTTTCCATCCTGGTTTGACTTAGTCATTAGCCACAAATGTCTATTAATTTTGATGAAGTGAACTTATATTTAATGAATGAACTTGATAACGATGCATAAGAATTGGTAGCCCTGAGCTCAGTTTACTGTGGTATTTCATACAATTCAGTTCACTTGTGGAGTGTGCAGATCTGAACTTTCACCCTATTCAGATCTGACTAGGCTGTGCTGATATAATTATAGGAATTTTTGTTGTTGTTTTTTTAACCCTCACCTAAGAAGTAAGGATATTTTTTTCCCATTAATTTTTAGAGAGAGTGGAAAGGAGGAAGGAGAGAAAAAAACAACATCAATGTGACCTCGGTCGGGGTACATCAAACCACTAACCCACGTACCAGAACTTGACCTGGAACTGAACCCAAGACCCTTTGGTGGTCAAGCCAATGCTCTAACCATTTAGCACACTGGTCAGGGCTATACTTATTGGTTTTTAATTTTATATTTGACTAGAAACCCAGTGCACAACATTCATGCACTTGTTGGGGAGGGGGTCCTTCAGCCTGGCCTGCACCCTCTCGCAGCCCAGGACTTCTCAGGGGATGTCCAACCACTGGGAGCAGGCCTAAGCCGTTAGTTGGACACCCCCCAAGGGATTCTGCACTGCTGCTGCACTTGCCGGCCATGAGTCTGGCTTCTGGCTGAGCTGTGCTCCCCTGTGGGAGTGCACTGACCACCAGGGGTTAGCTCCTGCACTGAGCATCTGCCCCCTTCTGTTCAATGTCCATCATAGGGACCAATCTTTCCAGCGTTTGGTCAATTTGCATATTAGCATTTTAACAATAAATTTTTAAACAATTATGAATAAGTTACTATATTATATGTCTACAGGGGATACTTAGCTGTTTTTAAAAGATGCCCAGTTAAATTTACTAATACCTATACTTTCCAGAGTTTACAAAGACCAGCCAATTGCATCCCGTTCTGCTTACCTGATGGCTTGGAAGTTTCTAATTACATGTTTATCACTCACTGGAAGCCCGATGCACGAAGATTCCTGCTAGAATGGGCTTTCCTTTTCCTGGTGCCGGCACCACCTTTCCACTCCAGCCCAGACTCTTTCCATTCAGGCCCTGCCTTCCCACGCTGCCCAAAGGCCCTGAGAGACCAGGGGTGGGGCAGAACATCAGCATCGTCGCCATAGCTACAACACAAGCATCCTGCCCCATCACTCAGCACCTGTGTATGCAAATAACCTCCATCTTTGTTGGGTTAATTTGCATATCACTCTTGATTGGCTGGTGGCCAATTTACATGTTTGTCTATTATTAGGTAAGATTATTTTACAAATTTTTTAAATTTAACTATTTTCTCCAAAAAAATTAATCTGAATACTTATTTTGTTCCACTTTTTATGTCAACATTTTAAGCACCAGTTTTAGGTTTTTTTTTAGCTGCATTTTTGCTGCTAAAATGACAAATTATTCTTTTTTGAAGATAAATAATTGAAATTAGAACATGGTTCTTTTATTTACGTAAGAAGAAAATGGAAGATTTTAAATGATTAACTTTCTGTTACAGACTGAACCCATAACAGAACATTGTAAACAGCTATAATTTCAGGAAGGAATATAAAATTTTTAAAACACCAACTAAAATATAACTCCTATCACTACAGAATGTAGTGACAACTGGTGGAAGAATTCATAATGAGCTAAATGCCTCATCTTTCATAACAGGATGTCAAGAACCCCTGTCTACTTTTGCTCTCTTGGGGGCAGGACCATAGCTGTGATTACAGGGTCATTGGCGTTGGCGGAGAGATGCTGAAGAAGTAAATAGAGTTTAGTCTAAGCAGAGTTTCTCAACCTGGCCTCCACCAACCTCTAGGTCAGGAATTGTGTTGTAGGGGTTGTCCTGTGCATTGTGGGGAGTCTAACTGCATCTCTGGCCTTGATCTGCTATCTAGTTGTGACAACAAAAATGTCTCCAGACTGTGACACATGACCGCTGGCAGGTTCGGGGCATGTGGAGGGGGCTGTGTTCGGAATCGCCTGGCTGGGTGCCCTGGCCTCACGCCACATTAGCCTCGGCTACAGGACAGTCTGGAGAGCAGCATCCCCTTCGCATGGGAGCTTCAGCTGCTACCCAAGCACACAGCTTCTTTTGGGCTCTCAACTTGATGGGGTGCTACCAAATTCGAGGGCCAAAGGATGGGGCTCCCCTTGATCCACAAAAGCTACCACCTTGTTTTTGCAAATCTGTTGTGACTGCCTAGCCCCAGAGACCCGAGGCCTGCATGCCAACAGCTCTCCTGACCGAAGTTCACGCAGCCAGTGGGGCCCGCCTGCTGCTCTGTGTTCAGCCAGTCTTCTGAGGGCACAGAGCTGCCGGAGGCCAAGGCCCAGCATCCCAGCCCAGGTCAACCCTCTGCTCACAAGAGGGAGCCAGGTTGATGATCACATTATTTAGGGTTGCAGGAATGCATATGTGTTTTTTAAAAACATGAAGAAACAATTTAAAATTTAGCCAAATTAAGATACACAGCAATCTTCATAATTAATCAAACCAGAAACTGTGGGAGTTCTGAACTCTGTTTTATTTTATGCATTATTCTACCATTTCATTTTTTTTTTTTTTAAAGAACTATGTACCAAAAAAGTTGTTGCAAAACAATACTATTACAAACTAGTGGCCTGGTACCTGGATTCAAGCACATTGAAAGAAAATAAATTAGAAGGAAGATTTGTGTGGTAATTACATTACTACAAAAAATTACATATCAAAATAGTATATATAATATAGTATTATAAAATTAAAATACAAACTATTTTAATATAACTAATCACCCTTTATAATAGAAGTGTCAGAGATGAAAAAACTTAGTAAAATGTACATGAAAATAATACATAAATTGATTAATAAATAAACAATATATTGTCAACAACGTCGCTTTAGAAATATGTTGTGCCAATAGTTGGTCTTCAGATACATTCTGGTGTTGCTGGTGATTGGCGCCAGCAAGAGCGTTACATGTATCACACATGCATGAGTCAACGTTAAATTTTAACTTTTATTTTTAAATTATCAGTGCATGTCATATGTGCCAGTGGTCGGAAGGTTGAGTGTATGTACAGTCAATTAGCCTTTTAGATAGGTAAGTAGATAGATAGACAGATAGATGATAGATAGATAGATAGATAGATAGATGATAGATAATAGATAGATAGATAGATAGGTAGATAAAAAGACACCTGTCGAGGCTTTCTTCCCGTCGCCCATAGTTTCTTCTCTAACACATGACTGTAGAGAGAAACGCTGTTTCCTCTTCTAAACCCGGTGCCAGCGGGTGAGGCTCGGCCTTCGCTGCGCGCTGGTGCTGTTCCGTCTCCCGGGCGAGGAGTGCTGGGCAGGGGAACGGCGGACGGTGCGGAGCTGGTCTGAGGTCTGGGCTGAGCAGTCAGCTCCTGGCCTGCTTGTCCTCTGACAGGCGCTGTCTGTCAGCACGTGCTGGGCATCACTGTCAGACAGCTGTTTGCTGCTCCGTGTCTGTGGGTCTGGGAGTGAAGGGGCAGGGAAGAAATCAGCAAGCTCTGAGGCGTCGCTCAGACACTGTGGCCTTTGTCATCAGAGCTGCATAGGAAAGGGCAGTGAGGGTGCTGCACGAGGCTTGGCCCTGTCCCTTCCCGCCTGCTTTTGGCTCTGACAGCCCATGTGACAGCCCAGGGCAGCATTATGCGCAGGAGGTGAGCACAGCGAGGCCGTTAGTGATGAGAGCTGCGGTGGCTTCTCTCTCACCGCTGAGTGTGCGCTCCCTGTGGACAGGCCGTTCTTGTTCTGTTATTGCTGTGCCCGCAGCACCTACCACAGTGCCTGGCGTGCTGGTGCCGTGCAGTGAGTGTCCGTGGATGGATGAGTGAAGGAGACATGCCTGCTATTTATTTCTACAGTTTCAGTTCACTCCCTTCAGCTGCTTTTCCTCGAAAGCTGTTGCCTGCGCCGTTTTCCTAAACCCAGCACCGTGCACACCCTGGGCCAGGCGTGTCCTGGCTGTGAGGCTGTCCTGTGCACTGGAGGGTGTATAGCCACATCCCTGGCCCCGACCCACTCAGCGCCAGTGTGCTGCGCTCCTGCTGTGGGCGCCCGGGGCCCCTGGGGGTGGCGGGAGCACCACCCCCACGAGGAGCACTGTCCGCAGCCCTGTCAGGCTGACAGAGGAAGCTCTCGCAGGCCCAGGAGGGCTGCACGTGCAGGGAGTGTAACTCCCACTGCCGGTAGTCATCAGCTTGTCCAGCAGCACCCCCTGTCAGCAGTGGCCCACCACCCTGCACCTGTGGACACACACAGGGACAGAGCCCCTCCGAGCTGAGTCTGCTCCGCGCTGGCGCCAAGCGCTGTGGACTCAGTGCCCCCAGAGCCCCCGAGCTTGGGACGCACTGCCTTTCCAGGCAGACAGAGGAGGGGGCTGGCCACGCCCGCCCACCACTCCCACCGCCTCCTCCCACCCCGTTGTGTACATTGTTCTCAACCATCTCCCTGGCCCTTCCAGAACCATTTTGGAAATGGAAGGCAGGAAAGAAGAAGGAGGAAGAGAAGAAAAAGGAAAAAGGAGGTAAGGAGACATGGCGTGGTCCCACTCGAAGTTAACACCCAGAATAAGCAGCCTTGTCCCTGGGGCAGCCAGAACCGGGTCTGTTCCTTCCGTCCAGCCCAACGAAGGCGAGGCTGGCCCTGCCACCGCCTGCAGAGCGCCTCCTTTCCATAGAGGGTGCTCAGAGGCCCGGAGGAGGCGGCCAGGCTCACCGGGACAGACGTGGGGCCCGCGGCCTCTTTGGTGGAGGGGAGTGAGGAGCACGCGGCATGGCGTCGAGGCCGGCATGGCACTGAGGCCGGCATGGCACCGAGGAGGACACGCGGGCTGGAGGCAGGGATGTGAGCTGCCTCTCACTTCTCCTGCATTGGAGGAACTTGCCTCCCAGTTCCCTGCCTGTCACCGCCTCCAAGGGGTGGCATCCCCCGCGGGTCCCGCAGACGGTGCCCTGCAGAGCGGGCAGGTGCTCAGGAGGCGCCCGGCTCTGCCTGCGGAGAGCACAGGCCTCTGGCGTGCTGGCCTCCTGCCCTGCACGGAACACCACGGCCCAGAGGCGGGTGGCCCTCCTCCGCCAGCCCCGCTGGCGGCACAGCAGCTTCGCTGCTCTCAGAACCAGCGGCCTTGGCTGCGGCTCTCCTCCGCGGGCTCGCCTAGTTCCCCGTCAGAGACCAAGCTTGCTCCTTCCGAACGCCCCCCCCCCCTTGTTTCTCCCCTCCTCCCACCCGGTGTGACTCCCCTGACCTCTGTGTGCAGAGGGCGCAGCCGGCCTTGCTTCTTGTCTGGGGTGGTTTACTCCTTAGAACAAGTGGCCAAGCCCAGAGCCTGTCTCCTGAGGGCGCCTCCGGAGCAGGAGGAACTGGTGAGAACCAGGGAACGGCACCTGAGCTTGTGCTTCAAAGCTCAGGCTCTGGCCCAACTGCCAGCCAGGCTTCAGGTTCTGGCCGTGAGCTTGGCAAGGCGCCAGGCCTCGGTCTGTCTCTGGAAGGGGGGTAACGGGAGCGTTGCCGCACTCAGTGGCAGGAGGATGGGGAGGGTGACACCAGAGGCGTGACCCCCTTGCCGGGCGGCTGGGCCGGTGGCGGACACTCAGCCTGCTCTGTGCACAGAGGTTTCCCGAGAAGAGTTCGGTGTGGTTTTGTTTGTTTGTTCTTTCCGTTTCCTGACGTGGTTTTCTTTCCATTCTAGGTTCCATTTTTTGGGCAGAGGCTGCTTCACACGTGTCCGTGCATGCCTGGCCTAGCCTGCTCACGAGCTGCAGTCAACCGATTTGTTTGTTCCCGAAAGTAATCGCGTTAGAGTAGAAGCTCGAAATGTGAGTGGCCACACGATGCCTGTAACACCGATCCTGGCTCCTGTGCCAGACAGAACCTAGTGCTTCCGCCGCCTCCGAGTGACGTTGCCAGCTTTGATTTTTAAGTGACCTCTTTTTATGGAAAACATTTAGTTTGGGGTACAAATGTAACGTTCAAGGCATTGTGGAACTGCTTCTAATTTCCCAGTTTGTTTTAGGTTTGGCTTTTTTTAATGCCAATAATTCACCCATTTTCACAAAAAGCGAGGACAATAAGAATTTGATATTTTGTTATAGACTCCTCTTTTTTCTTAAACCCTTCTCCTCCCATCCCTGCCCCACACATATCCTCGCTCACCCTTTGCTCTCTCGCTCCTCAAGAATGTTAAGGACCTCACTTTGTTCTTTGTCATTCGCCTCCCCGTGCTCGTGGCATTTTAACATACATGTGTGGTGGGGAGGGGTGTCCATGTCACCCGTTTGCGGTGGAGTCACTGAGGAAAAGCAAGCAGTGGAGAGTGCAGAGCTAAACAGACCCTCCAGGCCTCTCACACGGAGTGAGGGTGGCAGCTGCCACACGCCCGTAGGCTGTCTGCGCAGCCTCAGGCCGTTGGGTGCCCCGGCGAGGACAAAGGATGGAGGGCCAAACTAATTTAGTCCAGATTTATAGATGGCTTTTTTAAAGAATTCCCAGTACAGCAATGATTTTCAGCTGGTGTGCCCTAGCACACTGGTGAGCCACAAGAAGTTTTGAAACATGCAACACCTGACTTTCCCTTAGATTGTCAAATTAAAAAAATGACAACAGCCAATGCACAATACCCATCTGGTGTGAAAGAATCAAATTTAGAATTTATTTTGTCAGGCTGGCAGAATGCTCTTTTTGGTGTGCTGCAGAATTTCAGTAATCAGTTTATGTGCAAATCGCTTCAGCACAGTATTACATTTATTTCTTTTTTTATGAAGCTAATTTTATTAGAAAACTCTTATAGTTAGAGATGTTCCCAAAAATGTCACTTGAAGAGGAAGTATTGATTTTATTCTAGCATAAAACTAGTTATCCTTTTAAAATGGGTATTAACTTGTAATTTAAACTTCACCTGTAACCAAAAGCTCTATTGTAATGGATTGTCTGACATCCTGCCATTTGCACCTGTATCACTATTGCCGTGTAAAAATTCTGTATCAGAATTTCTGTGTCAAAAATCCTGAATCAGTTGCTTCACCAGTTGCTTTATTTTTAATATTATATCCTTATTCTGTCACAGCTGTCCTCAGTTTTTATGACAAGCTGATCTTTATATAGCCCACATCCCAAACCTGGCGAAGACTCTCGGTTGGTCAGATAGCACTCTTGTCTGTGTGTTTCATTTTGCACACAGGAAAATTCTGTTTGCATGAATGTTAAGGAAGTACAAGAACACGTAAATCAGCGAGGTTCTGGAAGATGAGGGGGATCATGGCGTACAGAACTGACTGCAACCAGAACGGCTCATGGGTGTCACCGCCGATCGGCTGGCGGCGTGTTCGGCCTGGCGCGGCGCGGGGCCGATGCCAGTGTCCCGGCCTTGAGGACCAGCGAGTGTAAATGCGACAATAAATCGCTTATGAGACACGCTCACTGAGTGCATTTCATCATGCCGACCTACCCCCTGCTCCGAAAGAGGGCTCCTGTGGTCGCTGCCTCCTCGCCCAGGGCCTCCACGCCCGGAGCCGCTCAGAAGTGTGGGGCTGTGCGTGCTAATTGCCCTCTTTGGCCACGGAAGTACTAGTTTGGGTTCAGTTAGTCTGCATTCAAGGACATTCCTTTGTGAGTTTGTTAAGAAAAAATTTAGAATTCAGCAAGTGGAATCATAGGTGAAAAAAACAACAGGCAGTTCAGCAATTTTGCTAAATGTTGTTTTCACATAATGTTCAATAAATCCTTTTTAATAAGTCGTGCAAACACTTGGATCAATCGTCCATTTTTAAAAAGTACATTTTTATTGATTTCAGATAGGAGGGGAGTGGGGGAAGGAGAAGAGATGAGAGAGAATCATTGATTGGCTGCCTCCTGCACACCCACCTCTGAGGATTGGGCCTGCAACCCGGGTGTGTGCCCTGGACAGCACTGAGCCAGGACCCTTCAGTCTGCAGGCTGACGCTCTCTCTATTGAGCCAAACCCAATCATCCATTTTCACCCATGTTAAAAATCACATAATTAACTTTTAAAAAATTTACTTTTACAAATGCCAGCCCGGTTTTTAACCCGGTAGACTGAGCGCAGCTGGGAGAGAGAGGTGGCCGGGAGCTGCCCCCTGGCCTCACTGCCACCAAGAAAGCCAGTTTGCCTTTGATACCCTCCCCGGGTTATCTTTATGGAGGAATGATTCTCCCTTTTTCTGTTTCTGTTAAACTGCACTTGAGGGTATTTTTTCCACTGCTTTTCAGAGAGAGGGAAGGGAGGGAGGGTGAGAAACAGAGAGAAACATTGATGTGAGAGAGACACAGCCACTGGTTGCCTCACACACATGGCCCAACAGGAGGCTGGGCATGAACCCAAAACCCACATTGTCTGGGAATTGAACCCAAGACCCTTCAGTGCACAGGCTGCCGCTCTAACCACTGAACCACCACCGGGACAATACTTCCTGTTTAGTGTCTGGTTCTGGTTAGTTATTGTCTTAACCTATTACCAGAGTTAGCTAGCACCTTTCCAATATTTCAAAAATACTTGTAATCAGACCTCACGGAGACTCTTGGAAATAATTCTATGCACAGAACTAAGTGTTGCTTTATAAAGACTGCGGCATGGTTTCTGCCCGGCCCAGCAGGGTCTCACACTAAAAGTGGGGCTTCATAGGCCAGAACGTCTAGAAGACAAGGCAAAGCCACGTGCTCTGCAGTCAGTGTTATGAACGGGTGGAGTCCATTATGAGGTAGAAATGAATCCTGTGCCTGAAGCCACTGACCAGGCCCAGTGCACCTTTGGATTTCATTGCAAACATTGACTTTCACGAAAACTGTCCTTTCTGACCTCAACAATCTTATTTTAAGAGCAACACTTTTTTTTTTGTGCAATATTAACCAATTGGCTTTATTCAATTAGTGAAATATAATTAATATGATCTAAACATTAATTTTCAATTATTTTAATTTTATTTTTAATTTATCTTTATTGTGATAGTGTTACTGATGTCCCCTTTTGTGTGTGTTTTTTTCCCCACCAACCCCCACCACCCTTATCCCAGCCCTCCTAGGCCTACCCCACACTAATGCTGTGTCCATGGATTACACATATCTCTATATCTATAAAACCCTAATATGCACATAGACTGACCAGCAGAACAACTGAACAGCTGGTCACTATGATGTGGGCTGACCGCCAGGGGACACGTGCAGAATATGGCAGGCATCGGACTTGGCAGGATGGTGGAGCAGGAGAGCTGGGTCATCAGACCAAGGTGGGGCGTTGTTCTCTGTCATCCAGCGAGCCTCTGATAGTCACTGAAAATTCTTTGATCCCCCTGCTGTGGTCCCACCCAGTGTTTGCAACCTCTGCCAGTGCAAGCGGCATCTGCCAGCCCTGATCACCCCTCAGGGCTTCTCCACCTCCCTCTGCTCCTGAGGGGCAATCAGGGCCAGCAGCCACTTCTCTTCCCCGCTGCTGGCGACAGCCCCACTCGCACCCATAGCCGGCATTGGAATTGCCACTTGCACCTGCTACAAGCACACGGCACTGGTCCCTATTGATTGCTCAGCACTGTCAGCAGCTGTCAGCCCCCATCACGCCTCAGGGTTTCTCCACCTTCCCCTGCTCCTGAGGAGCAATGGGAGCAGCAGCTGCTGCTTGCACCCACCGCTGGCGCTGGGCCCAATCACTCAGCGCCATCAGCGGGTATGAGCGGGGCAGGCACCATCAGCGCTTGGGGACAGTGGTGGCAGGGACAGGGCTTCCTTCAGACAGGAGTCTGGAAGCCACAGCAGGAGGGGCCTGGTAGAGTCGGGGAGATTGGGCCGAGACCCATCCCAGTGCCCCCTGCAGCTTCAGCCCACAGTTTCTTTCAAGGTGCACAAATTCATGCACTGGGACCCTAGAATGCACATAAATTCCCTGATTAATCTCTATCCGCCCACCCACCTTCCCCCACCTTCCCTCTGAAATTTGTCAGTCTGTTCCATGCTTCTATGACACTGGATCTATTTTGTCAGTTTGTTGTGTTCATTAGATTCTGCATATGAAAGAGATCATGTGATCCTTGTCTGTCTCTGACAGGCTTATTTTACTTAACATAATACTTTGCAGGTCCCTCCATGTTGTCTCAAAGGGTACGAGATCTTTCTTTTTTACTGCTGCATAGTATTCCATGGTGTAAATGTACCACAGCTTTTTATCCACTCATTGTCTGAGGGGCACTAGGGCTGTTTCCAGATCTTGGCTATTGTAAACAATGCTGCTATGAACACAGGGGTGCATATATTCTTTCTGACTGGTGTTTCAGGATTCTCAGAATATATTCCTAGAAGTGGGATCACTGGGCCAAATGGCAGTTCCATATTTAATTTTGTGAGGAAACTCCATACTGTTCTCCACAGTGGCTGCACCAGTCTGCATTCCCACCAGCAGTGCATGAGGGCTTCCTTTTCTCCACATCCTCACCAGCACTTGTTTGTTGATTTGTTGATGGTAGCCATTCTGACAGGTGTGAGATGGTACCTCGTTGTCATTTTAATTTATGCCTCTTGGATAATTAGTGACTTCCAGCATTTTTTATGTTTCTTGCCTTCTCATGTCCATGTTAAGAGAAGTGCCTTTTGCCCATGTTTTAATTGGATTGTTTATCTCCCTTTGTATCATTGCCAAATATGTTCTCCCATGCAGTGGACTCTCTTTTCACTTTGTTGGTGGTTTCTTTAGCTGTGCAGAAGTTTTTACTTTGATGTAGTTCCATTTATTTATTTTTCCTTAGTTTCCTTTGCCCTAGGAGATGTATCCGTAAACATATCGCTACAAGAGGTGTCTGAGATTTTGCTGCCTGTGGTTTCTTCTAGGGTTTTTATGGTTTCATGACTTACATTTAAGTCTTTTACCCATTTTGAGTTTATTCTTGATGTAATGGTGTAAGTTGGTGGTCGAGTTTTTTTTTTGTTTTTTTGTTTTGTTTTGTTTTGCATGTACCTGTCCAATTTTCCCAGCACCATTTATTGAGAGACTGTCTTGACTCCATTGTATGCTCTTGCCTCTTTGTTAAATATAAATTGAGTGTAATGGCTTGGGTCAATTTGGGGGTCTCTGTTCTGTTCCATTGATCTTTATGCCTGTTCTTGTGCCAGTTCCAGGCTGTTTTGATTACAGTGGCTTGGTAGTATAATTTGATATCTGGTACTGTGATTCCTCCAACTTTGTGATTCCTCCAACCTTGTTCTCAAGATTACTGTGGCTATTTGGGGTATGTTTTAGTTTCATATACATTTTTTGAGTGTGTGTTCTAAATCTGTTAAATATGCCATTGGTATTTTAATA